TCTCGGAATTCCGTTGTACCGCGATATCATAAAATCCTGCTCTAAACCAAATTTAAAGAACTTCCAAAAACCTTCAAGAACCAACTTTCACTATTATGCACCAAAATGCTCCTAGGTCATCCAAAACTCAATCCGAACTTACGCCCAAGTCCGAAATCATCATACAAATATATTGGAACCGTCAAATCCCGATTCTGAGGTCGTTCACTCAAAATGTTGACCAGAGTTAAACTTGGCCTTTTACGCCAACCTTAAGGAACCAAGTGTTCCGATTTCAACCCAAACTCTTCCAAATCCCGAACCATCCATCCCCGCATGTCATAAGTCAGAAAAAGCAAGTACAGAAAGTCTTATTTAGGGGAACGGGGTTCTAGAAAGCAAAATGACCAGTCGGGTCGTTACATTCTCCATCTCTTAAACAAACGTTCGTCCTTGAACGAGTTTATATTCATATCTGAGGTGCTAAATAAGCGTGGATATCTGCTCCGTATGTCCTCCTCGGACTCCCAGGTCGCCTCTTCGATTGGTTAGCCCCTCCATTGGACCTTTACCACAGAAATCCTCTTGGATCTCAACTGGCGATCCTGTCTATCAATAATGGCAACTGACTCCTCCTCATAACCTAAGCTCTCATCCAGCTGAATAGTACTGAAGTCTAACACATGGGACAAGTCGGCGTGATAATTCCAAAGCATAGACACGTGAAAAATAGGATGAACCCTTGATAGGCTGGGAGGTAGAGCAAGCTCATAAGCAACCTTCCCAACTCGCCTCAACACCTCAAATGGGCCTATAAACCTTGGGCTCAACTTGCCTTTCTTCCCGAATCTCATAATACCCTTCATCAGCGATACTTTCAAGAGAACCTTCTCGCCGACCATGAATGATACATCCCGCGCCTTCTGATCCGCATAACTCTTCTATCTGGACTGTGCTGTGGGAAGTCTTTCCTAAATCAACTTTACCTTTTCCAAGGAATCTTTTACCAAGTCAGTACCGTACAACTTTGCCTCTCCATGCTCAAACCACCTGATAGGAGAACGACATCGCCGGCTATATAAAGCCTCAAATGGAGCCATCTCGATACTGGACTGATAATTATTGTTATAAGCAAACTCGCCCAAAAGCAAGAACTGATCCCACTGCCCTCCAAAGTCAATCACACATGCTCTTAATATGTCCTCTATATCTGAACTGTCCGCTCCGACTGTCCGCCGGTCTGAGGATGGAATGCTCTGTTGAGCTCCAAACAGGTCCCTAACTCACTCTGAATAGCTCTCCAGAAATGTGAAGTGAACTGAGGGCCTCTATCCGATATGATGGAAATAAGCACACCGTGTAACCGAACTATCTCCCGAATATAAATCTGGGCCAACCTTTCTGAAGTATAGGTAGTCACAACTGGAATGAAGTGTGCCGACTTGGTCAACCTGTAGATAATGACCCAAACCGCATCAAACTTCCGCAAGGTCCGCGACAACCCAACTACGAAGTCCATCGTACTGCGCTCCCATTTTCACTCAGGTATAGTCATCTGCTGAAGTAGGCCCCCTGGCCTCTAGTGCTCATACTTGACCTGCTGGCAATTTAAGCACCGAGCTACATACTCCACTATGTCTTTCTTCATTTGCCACCACCAATAGTGTTGTCTCAGGCCACGATACATCTTCGTAGCACCTAAGTGAATAGAATACCGCGAACTGTGTGCCTCCTCAAGAATCCTCTCCCTCAAGTCATAGTCATTAGGAACACATAGGCGACCTTGGAGTCGCAGAACGCCATCCTCGTCAATAGAAACCTCCTTGGCACCACCCTGTAATATCGTTTCTCTGAGGACTGCTAAATACGGATCATCAAACTGTCGGGCCTTGACCTGACCCAATAACGAAGACTGAGCAACAACACATGCAAGGACTTAGCTAGGCTCTGAAATGTCCAACCTCACAAGTTTGTTAGCCAAGGACTGAATGTCCAAGGCTAGTGGCCTCTACTGCGCTGAAATGAATGCCAAGCTACCCATACTCTCTGCCTTCCTGCTTAAGGCATCCTCGACCACATTTGCCTTGCCCGGATGATAAAGAATGATGATGTCATAGTCCTTCAGTAACTCAAGCCATCTACACTGCCTCAAATTGAGATCCCCCTGCTTGAACAAATGCTTTAAGCTGCGATGATCAGTATAAACCTCACATGACACCCCATATAGATAATGCCTCCATATCTTGAGAGCATGAACAATCACTGCTAACTGTAGGTCGTGCACAAGGTAATTCTTCTTATGAATCTTCAACTGAAGTGAAGCATATGCAATAACTCGTCCCTCCTGCATCAATACACTACCCAAGCTAATGCGTGAAGTGTCGCAATATACCGTATACATCCCTAAACCGGAAGGCAACACTAGAACCGGTGTTGTAGTCAAGGCTGTCTTGAGCTTCTGAAAGCTCGCCTCACAATCATCGGACCAATGGAAAGGAGCACCCTTCTGGGTCAATCCAGTCAAAGGTGATGCAATGGATGAAAAGCCCTGCATAAATCAGCGGTAAAAACCTGCTAACCCCAGGAAACTCTTGATCTCAATCACTCGAGTAGGACGTGGCCAACTCTGAACTGCCTCAATCTTCTTAGGATCCACTTTAATACCCTCTTCTGCTACAACATGCCCCAAGAATGCTACTGACTCAAGCCAAAACTCACACTTGGAGAACTTAGCATATACCTTCTGCTCTTGCAATGTCTGGAGCAGTACTCTCAAATGCTGCTCATGCTCCCCCAGACTACATGAGTAGATCAAGATGTCATCAATGAAGACAATAACAAAAGAATCAATATAAGGCCTGAACACTTTTTTTTATCAAATCCATAAACGCCGTTGGGGCATTAGTCAAGCCGAAGTACATCACTAGAAACTCATAATGACCATATCTAGTACGGAAGGCAGTCTTCGGAATATCTGAGTCCCGAATCTTCAACTGGTGGTACCCCGATCTCAAGTCGATCTTAGAAAACACCCTAGCACCCTGTAACTAGTCAAACAAATCATCAATACGAGGCAACGCTACTTTTTTTATGGTGACTTTGTTCAACTGGAGATAATCAATGCACATCCGCATAGTCCCATCCTTCTTCTTCACAAATAACATTGGTGCACCCCAAGGTGATACACTGGGTCTCACAAACCCCTTTGCTAACAACTCCTCAAGCTGCTCCTTTAACTCTTTCAAATCTTTCGGAGCCATACGATCATATTGGCTGGGTACCTATAGCCAAATCAATACAGAAATCAATGTCACAATCTGGCGGCATGCCTGGAAGGTCAGAAGGAAACACATCGGCGAACTCCAGGACTACTGGCACTGAATCAATCATCGGAGACTCTGCGATGGTGTCCCAAACATAGGCCAGATACGCCAAACACCCCTTCTCGACCAGATGTCGAGTCTTCAGAAAAGAGATAACTCGACTAGATGAACTAATAGAGGAACCCTTCCACTCCAATCTCGGCAACTCTGGCATCGCTAAAGTAACACTATTGGCATGACAATCAAGAATGGCGTGATACGGAGATAACCAATCCATGCCCAAGATGACCTCAAAGTCGATCATGTCAAGTAATAGAAGGTCTGCTCTAGTCTCATAACCACAAAATGTAACCACACAGGACCAATAGATCCGATCCACAACTACAGGATCGCCCACAGGAGTGGACACATAGACAGGAGTACCCAAAGACTCACGAGGAATATCCACGAAATGAGCAAACAGAGATGACACATATGAATAGGTAAATCCTGGATCAAATAATATCGAAGCATCCCTACCACAGACAGAAATAATACCTGTGATCATGGTATCTGAGACTACTGCATCTGGCCTGGCCAGAAAAGCACAGAATCTAGCTGGAGTGCCAGCTGGCTGGCCTCCGCCTGGCTGAGCAATAACTGATTGACCTCCCCCTGCCTGGCCTCCGCCTCTAGGACGGCCCCTACCTACCTGTCCCATACCTCTGGGTGGTCGGGCAGCTGGTGCTACAATCATGGGATGATGACTCTACTATACTACCTTGCCCCGAAGTCTGGGGTAGGTCCTCTTTATGTGACCCGAATCTCCACACTTTTAAAACCTCTCGGTACCATAGACTACTGACCCGATGCCTGATCCTGATGGCTTGAATACCCACTAGAGGAACCCTGAATGGCTGGTGGGCGGTATGAACTCTGTAGCATGGCACACGACTGCCAAAAGGTCATCACTTGATTTACAAACAAATTGGAAAATTGGTGTCTTTTGTCCTCAAATATAAGGTTTCGAAGCTCTTTAGAACCATGGATTCCTATTGATTTTTTTCTGAAATTTCAAAATTAAATATATTTTTCTAGTCTAACCATGAGCATAGTGGTGTTGTGAATTTGATTTAGAAATAAGAGAGAGAAAGAACATTGAAGAAAAAGAGAAAGAAGGAGAATAAAAATAAGGAAAGAAACGGAGGTGGGCGAACGGAGAAGAAGGGAGATGTGGGTGAACGGAGTAATATCTTCAGGTCTTTTTCTCTCTTTCTTTTTTCTTTTTTCTTTTTTTAATTTGTAACTTCTTTTTTGCTTATTTAGTAGTGGATGTATTTATTAGTACATGCACTAGTAGATGTATTTATTAGTACTCATTCTGTCAAGTTCGAGTGTTCAAATAGAAAAATTTAAAGTTCATGTATCGGCTTTCAAAAGCCCAACGAGTCTAAGTGGCCAGAAAACCATTCCGCCTACTAAAAATAAACTGACCTCTAGACGTAAGAAAATTAAGGGGAAAGTGCACATATAGCCATTCTCAGGGATGCTATTTAGAGATCAGCCACTACTTTTTTGTCCTTAAATTTTAAACTAAAAATCTTAACTTCAGGATTACTCTAGACATTTTGACCTGAAAAACTGAAATTCAGAATGTACTAGCTAATTCCTAAATAGCAGTCCTTTAAAGTGGCTACCTGGTGTCATTTCGACAAAAATTATTGTAATATGAGTCAATATCCATGAGGTTTATCTTACAAATATCCCATATATAAGTTTTAGAAACGCATTATAAGAAGAAGAAAAAAGTTGCTCAAACTGGTCTCCCTTTGCTATTATCACACTATAACATCTTTGAAAATGCAACTATACAAACTAAGGATTTTATCTTTAAAACGATAGAACTAACTAGTCTCAGTAAAATGACACAAACTATGGAAAACATGGTCCTTCAATTACTGGATGAGTTCTTGTGACCATAGCAATAGGCATTTTACTTCTACCAACAACAATAGTTTCCAAAAACTCACCTCCCTCTGCTTCTCTTTCCATTTCACTTGTTTTCTTGGCTTTAAAAATTCCCAACACCATCTTTCCTACTGCAGCTACCAATGCCAACCCGAGTAGTCCGATAACAAATCCAATAACCAAAAAACCCCATATTCTCCTCTTCTTCTTCATCTCTAAAGGTAACACTATAGAGAAATGACCATGATTTCTTGTATAACATAAGTTAGGAAATCTCATTTCACTAAGAGAAACTTTACCATTTTCATCAAACATGACACACTTTGGTCTTTCCTTCATCTCTGTTACATTCTTGAACTCGATCCATATAGGTTGTCCCATTGGTCTAAGATCAATCTTTGTGAGATTTGTAATGCTACTAATATGGGATGGTGCATCATAAACCATGAAACCAATAACAGAAGTTAAGAGATTGTAACCTGATATGTTGAAGTAATGAGAAGATAAATTTCCTAAATCATTATAAACAATGTGGATTCTTTTAACATAAGGTACTGGAATAGTTTTTGGAGGGATAGAAAAACCACTAAAGTTTGCACCTTTTTTCCACAATGTTCTGCTTCTTAATCGAATGAGTGAGAGCTTCATTCCTGCTAGATTTGAAGGAAGATTAGCATTGTATAAATCTCCAGTATGTTGATGAACTAAAGATTTGAAAGCATGTTCGTGAAGAATAACGTCTAATGATTCAGTAAGGTTGTTATTAGAACATTGAACCAGAAGAAAGAGTTTCAAGAATAGGAATAACAGAACTATGAACAAGTTGTGAATAAAATTTGATGGCCATTGTCTGTTCTTGGATTTCATTGATTTGGGTAAGTATTTGGTTTGCTTTACTTTCCAACTGTATGAAGGATTTTGAGCTTGAAATATGGCTGAAACTGAGGAAGAAAGTAGAGTTGGAGGTGCAAAGTCTTTTTCTTTTTGGACTAAAGAGTAGGGTTATACACTCAAAGTCATGCTTAAGTTGGTCCCATTAGATTAATAATAGGGTTTCCACCTTAGGGTGAAACAATGATGACTTTGTCTGTTGAAAAAGAGAGACCATTATTCTTCCATGAAATGTGGGAATTATCACGTGTGTGTGTGTGTGTGTGGGGGGGGGGGGGGGG